GCCCCCCCCCACCTCCCCATTTTGCGGCCGCCGCTTCGTCCTTCGGAACCAACGAAGCCCTTCGTCCGCGGCCCCAAATCCGGCACTTCCATTCGTAGGACCGCAACGCGGAGGCGACGGGGCCGCGGGCTGACGGAGCTCCGCCTCACCGCCGCCCCGGCTCCGAGCGCACGATGCCGCCCATGGCGGCGGCTCTCCGGCCCTGCTGCAGCCGGTACAGCATCTCCGCCCGGTCCCTCCGCAGCTTCTCCTCGTAGCCGCGTCCCTTCAGAGTCACCGCGTCCCCGAATTCCTCCCGCAGCCTCCTCAGCTTCCCCCGCAGCTCCTCCTCGCAGCGCAGCGCCTCCGCGTTCAGCCGCCGCCGCGCTCGCGTCTCCCCGTGGAGGGCGGCCGAGGACGGGAGCCCGGGGCGGCGCTGGAAGAAGCGGTCGGGGTCGGAAGTTCGGAGCTCCAGCCCTTCCAGCAGAGCCAACAGCCGCTCCCGTCGGCGGATCAGAGCGGCCGCTTCTTCCCACAGCTCCAAGGCGGCCTTCAGTCGCGGCCGGGCGGCCGCAGGGCCGTATTTGGTGGCCATGGCCAAGCGCTCGGCCGCGGGGAGCTGAAGGGCGGCCCAGAGGCGGTGCAGGCGGTGCTGCAGCTCCTCAGGGCTGGGCGTCGGAGCTGCAGGCGGCGGCTCTGCCGTCAGCCGGGCTGCAGGCGGGGGCTCCGCCGTCCCCCACGGGCGCTCGTCGGGCGGCTCCTCGTCGCCGTCGGCGCTGCTGAGGTCGAAGATGGCGTGGAGGAAGTCGGAGCCGGCGGCGGTGAGGAATCGCCGGTAGTCGTGCAGGAGCTGCAGCGGCCGTGGCGGCGCTCCGGGGGTTTTCGGAGCCGCCCCGGGCTGCTGCTGGGATCGCCGTGCGGTCAGATCGAGGTCGGTGGCTGCCGGCTCCAGCAGCGGCTCCGCGTGGAAACGCCAGGAGGGGGCGGGCAGCGCCGAGCCCAGCCGGGCCAGGAGATCCCGGAGAGCCTCGGGGGGGGCCGGGCGGCGATGGGGAAACTGCTCGGGCTGCACGGCAGCGTGGGCCGGCAGGGGCTGCAGCTTCGTGTCGCTGCGCGATGGCCGCCGCCGCCTCCCACCACCCAGCAGCTCCATCCCCGCCTCAGAGCCCAGCGCCGCTTCCAGGCCCGCTTTCACCGCGCCCTCCATCGGCTCCGGATGCCACCAGAGCCGCACGCCGACGGCCGGCGGGGCTCCGCGCGGCTCCTGCGGCTGCTCGGTCGGCGTCCGGAGGCGGCGGAGCCTCGCGCGGTCCTCGGGGCGGCGGGTGACGGCGGTGAGCAGCGGGGCGGCGCTGAGCGGAACGGAGCCCCGCGTTACCCGGGGTTGTCGGGCCGCAGGCGGCGGCGGGGCGGGAGGGGCTCGTCCGGAAGGGCCGCGATGGATCGCCGGGGGCTTCGTGGCGGCGGCGCGGAGCTCCTCCGTCCTTCCCGGCGGTTCCGCGGTGCTGCCATCGCACGGCGCTCTGCGGTCAAAATCCGCCGTCAGCGGAAAATCGGCCCCGGGCTCCGGGAAAACGCGCGCCCCCAAACGCCGGGATCCTCCCGCGCGAAACCCCCCTGCGGCCCGCGGGACGCCTCGGAGCTCCGTGACCCCCAGAGCCCCCGGGACCCCCAGCGCTTCCCGCCGCCTCCGGACCGCGCTCCACGAGGCCTACAGCGTCTCTATTTCCATGGCGACCGGGGCGCCGGAAGTGACGTGTAAACAACGCGCCGCTATCGCCCACACTCCCCGAGGCTCCGTTTCCATGCCGATCGCTGCGCCGGAAGTGATACCAATCGGATGCGACGCTTTCAGTTTCTGCGCCGGAAGTGACGCCAACGCATTGCACCGGAAGTGACAATAGAGCGTTGCGCAGCGCGCGGGGTTCAGAGTCCGCCGTCATGGCGGGGTCCGGGGGGTCGAGCTGCACGGTGAGCGGCGGGGGCGGCGCTTTGGGGGCGGGCGGAGCGGGTTTAGGGGTCCGGGGCTCCGCCCGCAGCCATTTTGGGGGCGCAGCGCCCCGTAGGTGGGAATTTTGATGGCGCAGTTCCTCGCAGGCGGCAGCGTTGTGGGGTGCAGGGCCCCACGTCTGGGCGTTCGGGGGTGCGCGGCCCCTTTAAGGGCGGTGTCGGGTTGTGGCGGCCATGCGGGGCTGTTCGCGGGCCGCAGGGACCCATGGCTGGGCATTGGGGTGCGTGGAGCCGTTAATGCCGGTTTGCGGGGCGGAGGTGCCTTTAAATGGGGGCTTGGGGTTGTGGGGCGGCGTTAAGGGGCGTTTTGGGGGGTCGGCTGGTGGGACTTCATGGGGCGCAGGAGCCGAGAAACGGCATTTGGGGGGGGCAGAGCCCCATTAAAGAGGAGGGGGAAGGGCGGCATCCGTGGAACTCTGAGGGGCGCAGGGATGACAAATGGGAATTTGGGGGTGCGGAGTCCCATAAGCGGGCGCTTGGGGCGGGGGGGACCCAGGAAGGGGCATTTGGGGGCGCAGACCCCTCCCCCATCCCATCCCATTTCCTCCCATCCCCCCCTTTTCCAGATGGAGTTTGCAGTGCAGATGAGCTGTGAGAGCTGCGCCGAAGCCGTGCGGGCAGCGCTGGAGGGCGCCCCAGGTGAGCCCCACTCCGTGCCAACCAACTCCCCACTCCTTATCACCCCCCATCTCCCCCCACCCCAATTTCCAAGCGTGCAGCTGCTGAAGCTGCACCCCAAGCCCCACTCGGTTCCCCCCTTCCCCCCGCTCTTTGCCACCCCCCATCTCCCCCCCAGTTCCCAGGCGTGCAGCTGCTGGAGCTGCGCCCCAAAGCCCCACTCTGTGCCCCCCAGTTCCCCCCCACTTTGCCCCCCCCCCATCTCCCCCCACCCCCAATTCCCAGGCGTGCGGCTGCTGGAGCTGCGCCCCGAGACGCAGACGGTGCTGCTGGAGGCCCAGGTGGGAGCGGAGCGCGTGAAGGAGCTGCTGGAATCCAGCGGGCGCCGCGCGGTGCTGCGGGGTCTGGGGGTCCCCGGGGGTCCCCGCGGAGGTGACGCGACGGCGGCGGCGGTGGCGGCGCTGTCCGGTGATGGCGGCGGAGGCGTGAGGGGTTTGGTGAGATTCCTGCAGGTTTCCCCGGAGCTCTGTTTGGTGGATGGAGTCATCGACGGGCTGCGGCCCGGCCCCCATGGGCTCCACGTGCACGAGTTTGGGGACACGTCCCAGGGCTGTGAGAGGTAGGGGGGGGGGGCTGGGGGGGGGGGGCCCCGCGGGGGGGGGGGGGGGGGGTGACCTGGTGGCGCGCGGGGGGCAACATAGTGGGGGGAAAAAGGGGGGCGAGCAATGGGGTGGGGGCGCAGCGATGGTGGGTGGGGGCACCCAGTTGGGATGGGGGCAACCCAGTGGAGGCAGAGACACCCCAACAGGGAACAAGGACCCCCCAGTGGGGACAGGGACCCCCCAGTAAAGGACAAGGAAGTCTAAGTGGGGACAGGGACACCCCTGGAGGTGGGGACGCCCCACTTAGGGACAGGGGTCCCTCCTCACCCACATCTCCATCCTCCAGCTGTGGGGATCACTACAACCCCGATGGGGAGAGCCATGGGGGGCCGCAGGACCAGCACCGGGTGAGCCTGGGGGCATTTTGGGGTGCTGGGGGGCACTTTGGGGGTGCTGGAGGGCACTTTGGGTGCTGGGGGGCAGTTTGAGTGCCTTGGGACACTTTAGGGTGCCGGGGGGCATCTTGGGGTGCCGGGGGGCAGCTGGGAGCCCCCCCTGACCCACTCGTGCCCCACAGCACGCCGGGGACCTGGGCAACGTGTGGGCTGACGCCGAGGGCCGAGCTGCGTTCCGGATGGAGGACACGCGGCTGAAGGTGGGGGTCTGGGGGGGTTTGGGGGCATTTGGGGGGGTTGGTCGGTGCCCCAAAGCCTGACCTCCCCCCTCCCCCCCCCTTTTCCAACCCCTCCCCCAAAGGTGTGGGACATCATCGGCCGCTCGGTGGTGGTGGATGCGGGTGAGGACGACCTGGGCCGGGGCGGCCATGCGCTGTCCAAGCTGACGGGGAACTCGGGGCCCAGGTGAGGCTGTGGGGCAGCAGGTCGGGTTTGGGGGGGTCTGGGGGGGGGGGGGAGGGGGATGACGGTGTGGTGACACCCCCACGTTTGTCTCCCCACCCTCCAGGTTGGCCTGCGGGGTGGTGGCCCGGGCGGCCGGGCTCTTCCAGAACCCCAAACAGCTCTGCACCTGTGATGGCCTCACGCTGTGGGACGAGCGGGACCGGGCTGCAGCCCCCAGCCCCATGGCAGCCCCCAGCCCCAAGGCAGCCCCCAGCCCCAAGGCAGCCCCCAGCCCCACGGCTACCCCGACCCCACACCTGTAGGCGGAAGAACGAGCAGGAAAGCACTTTGTGCCCCCCCTCCTTCCACCCCCGAAGGACCAAAGAGAAATAAAGCACTTTGCGTCTCCTCTTTCCTCCCCCGAAAAGAAAGAGCGCGGCCCCTTTAAGAGAGGAGGTTGGGCGTCCTGAAGAAGTAGCTGGGAGTCGCGCATGCGCAATGGGACGAAATCGTAATGTAGTGATGCGCGTGCGCAAGAAACAAGTTAGTGCTGCGCGCGCTCCCGGCGCGCATGCGTGCTCATTATGCAGCGGTGCGCATGCGTAGCGAGCTTGCATTGCTAACTGTTTATGAGCATGCGCATTAAAACAGTCGCGATCGGCTCGGCGTCTTGTGCGTGCGCAGTTAATGAGGCGGGACGGCCGGTGAGCGGCGCGCAAGCGCCTTGGGTCGCCAAGTCGGCGCGCCTGCGCAGTAAAGGGGCGGGAAGCCGGCGCGCGTGCGCAGTGCGCGAGCACCGCCCCCCTCCGCGCTGAGGAGGCGCCGCCATTTTGTGAGGCCGCCAGCGCTGCCAGCGCCGCCAGCGCCATGCGTCCCGGCATCAAACTGTTCGTGGGCAATGTCCCCGAGGAGGCGACGGCGGAAGAACTGAGCGAACTGTTTTCCGGGGCCGCCGGCCCGGTGCTCGGCATCGCCTTGATGAAACAGTTCGCTTTCGTTCACCTCCGGGACGAAGCGGCGGCGGCCCGCGCCATCGCGCAGCTCAACGGCCATCAGCTGCACGGCCGCCGCATCGTGGTGGAGCCGTCCCGGCCGCGGCCCACCAACACCTGCAAGATTTTTGTCGGCAACGTCTCGGCCGCCTGCACCAGCGGCGAGCTGCGGTCGCTGTTCCAGCAATACGGCACCGTCGTGGAGTGCGATGTGGTCAAAGGTATCGGACCCGCCGCTCCGGGGCCGCCCGGCCCTCCCTCCCCCGCGCCGGGACCCCGTGGGGCCCTCAGAGCCCCTTATTGGGGGGGGCGAGGGGGGCGGCCTCCGCGATGTGGTGCCGCGTGCGGCCCTGAGGCGGAGCTGGGGGGGGTGAGGAGGGGGCGAGCCGCTGCTCCGCGGGAGGCCGGAAGGGCGTCGGTACCCGGTGGCCGATAGGAGGCGGTTTGTGCTGCCGTCGGTTCACGTCGGGCTGCTGCAGCCCGGACGCAGCGAGCTGCTCCCCTACGGGCCGCGATGGGAGGGTGGAAGGCTATAATT